ATTTTCAATTCATATAGTCGCTTAAACTTTTTATGGGTCCAAGTGGTACAGGGGGTTCAGAGTTGGTTGAGCTATTAGTTGTAAAGGTCAAACACATCAGCTACTCTCCAGCCAAAAAATGGAGCAGTAGTAATCCACCAGCTGCTCAGAGAAAAAAGGATGGGCAATTCCTCTGGTACAATTAACTGCCTTTGAAAACCCACTAGAAAGTAAACTATGGGTCCCTTGTGACTCCACGGTACACAGCGCCACAGCAATGCTCCCAGAAATCCTACAAGGCATTTCCATTTTGTCCCGTCGGATTGCTTTGAATTAAAATCAAGTCAATATCAGTGAGTTTGGATTTAGGGCAGATTTTTTTACTCAATTTTCAAATTCTGATACATGATTTAAAAAAATAAAGTGATATATTTTAGTAGACTACAGCAGCATTTTCCCTCATTTTCATTTTCATTTGTGAACACCATAAGGAAATAATTTTTTAGAGTTTTTTTGAGAAGGTAGTGGGTTGTTTTTTTGTTGTTTTAAAGAGATTATCTGTATGTTATTTTGAGAGTTGGATAGAATTATGGGCATTAGATATTTAGTAGGACTGGCAGACTAATAATACACTTTGAATAGTATAAACCCATTGCTATCCATGACTAAAAATCTTTAAATAAAATTCAACCTCTCTTAAACAGAAAGGCAGACTTCTGTTTCCTCCCATATTACATCTGTTTGTTTAGGGCTGGCTGCTGACTAATCCTTTAAGAAGTTGCTGAACTTCCTCTAAGTGTACTGAAAACTTAATTCTGTTTTTTAAATAGCTGTACATAATCCTCTTTTCATACAGGTATTTTCAGTGTTTAACAGAAAGGATAATTATCTTTGTAAAGTTAATGATTTCTTAGTCCCAACTTCTGATTAATTTTTTTTTTAATTTTTAGAGTTCTCTGCTTATTTAAAGACAAATTGGAGGACATTTTCAAAATGCTGAAGAAAAAGAGTTCATAAGAATATGTGGCTTGTGGGAAGAGAGACTAGCTTTTGTTTCTTAGATTTCCACATAGTATGAATAGCTCCACCATATGAATGGAAAGTGTTCTCTTAAGAACTGTAGTTCTAGCTATAGGTGTAGTAGAATCCTAGGACTCAAAGCAGTACAGCTCTAACATCAAAATCCTTAGCTCCTCTCAATCTTGGGCTAATCACTTCACCAAACCATCTCCTAAACTGAAAGGAAATCCAGAGAAAAATAATCTCAAGGAGAGGTGAAAATGAGAAATGTTTTTTTAAGCTTTTGACTTAGGGTCTGTGTTATAAAAATTCTTTAGTCTCTTGTAACCCAGCTGTTAAATTCAGCATTTAGAAACAGCTTATTGTTTAAGGTTGATGGAAAAAAAGCAAAGCACAACCCACCAAAACCCAAAACCCGACTCCAGGAGTAGTTAAGCTTTCTATTCTTGTTTTTCTTATGCTTGATTTCTTTCCTCTTCACTCTGCCCTTGTGTTTTCCCACAGCCTAATAGTTAATGGAGCAAGTTTCTCAAGCCAGGCTGGCAGTTTCCACCATCACTAGCTGGGTTGTCTTGGGAAAGTTGCCTCATTCTGCCTCCATTTCTTCATCTCTAAAATAAACAATACCTACAACTAAAAATGTTATAAGGAAATACTTTAAATCACTTAGAAGACTGCCAAATATGTAATAAGCATCTAAAGCCCCAAAATAATAGCTTCCACAGAACGCTTTACCATTTCTTTTTTTAACATCTCTTCCCTCAACTTTCATGCTACCAACTCACGTATTATTTCTCCTTATGATTAAGAATAACCAGATTAGTACCTTACTGCTTGCTATTATCTAAGCAAATGTTATTCTGTTCTAGTCATTTCATATACAACAGTTGGGACAATGATTTCTCACGTGGTTTTTAAAAAAATACTTGGAAATTTGTATTTGATTTAGTTAATGGATTTTTTTTGTTGTTTCTTTTCCAGAATAGTTTCTAGTAAAGAGTTCTCTTAGTTATGTTTAAAGTGGAGAAAAGAATGCCCATTTCTGTAATGTGAAATGAAATGATTTGTAATGGTTGAGTACTTGTCATCAAGGTATGTCTTCTAGTAGCAATAGTGACTGGTGATGTGGAGGCCAGCCTTTTAACTATTACCATAGCTCTTACAGGTGATCCTGTTACAGCTATTTAAAGTACCACATAGTATATCTTGTATTAGGAATCTATGCTATGTTTCAGTGTCAGCAAAAATCATTTACAAATTCATGCTTCTGACCTGTCTCTAAAATTAGTTTTAAATACTTCCTTCTGCCATTGATTGAAGACATGAGACAAATGGTATGGTGGTTTGTTATTTGATTTAGTGAATATTTTGGTTGAAAACAGTGGCAATATGAGTTTTCATACTTAAAAACATTAAAACTTTCATTTTTATGTAAATCTAATGAGGATATGTTTAATTTGTGATCTTTGTTTCCTTTCTGTTTATATAATAAATAAGCTAAGGTAGAAACTCTTGAGCAAAAGTTCAAATATGATTAAGAAAAATAATTTGGACAGAAAATAGGTAGTTTCTTTCTTTGACCTGATCTTATTTCCCCTGTAAAGTGAGCCTTGCGTTTTTAACTCTTAAGATAGCATTCACTAAGAAGAAAGCAATGTTTTGCATGTTTTATTATATTACTATCTTGTGTGCTGAAGGTTTTTCTTTTGTGCAAGAGAGAGAAACATATGTTTGGTGAATGCGTATTTCTTGTAGTATACATGATTCTCCAGATTGGAATCTAGTGAAACAGGACTCTCATTTGAAAACTAAAGAGTTAAGACTACAACAGAGGATAAAAGTGATCAAATGATTAGCTGGAGGCTAATAGAAATTCTGGGAAGAATGACAGATTGTATATTAGAACGAAATATGATCTCATATTCATTGAAGCTTTTTACAACTAAAGATCCAAAAGAAATAATAGAAAATTACTGAAAGAGATAAATGTCTGAAACTTTAGAAATGCTTGTGGTGTTGGATTAATCCAAGCAAAAAAGACTGATGGACAGATAATAAATTTCATTGTGTAGGAAGTCTGCTTTCTTTATTTTCAAGGTACTTTAGTCTAGTTTTTGGGTGTTGTTTTTTTCCTTGCAAGATGTATTTAAGTAGCTCTAGGGCAGTTTCAGAAAGCTTAATTCATGATTCTTATCATCACACCATATGTGTCTTTGGAAGAGATAAAGTATTACAAGCAAAAAATTTCATGTCCCAGAATGGAGGAGATGAAGCTGAACATTCATTCTTTTCTGTGCCAAATTGATGACATATTGCATATAAGAATATAAACAATGGAAAAACCTCTCTTCACATATGAGACCTCAATTGTGCTGCCTCTTAACTATAAGAGATTTGACAGAAATTTCTCAATGGATTTTAGTCAATAGCTGTACTTCTACTGGGGAGGAAGAAATTTACATATAAACTGGAAAAGTACATTTTTTTTCACTACAGAGAAGTGCTTATAAATGTAACTATCTTATGTTTTACTTTCCCGTAAGTGCATGTTATTTGACTAAAATGTCCCTAACTCTCAGTACTGTGTCAGTGACATGCTTTATATTATCCATATAACCAGTATATAAAACATTGTTGAAATAAATCACAAAATAAGATGGAGCTTGAATATTTGTGAAATTATGTTTTTATAAACATGAAATTAAATATCTGAAAGCATTTGAAACTTTGGAAATATCTTAGCTGCCTAAAGTCAGAAAACTATTACTTGTTTCTCTTCAGTACAAGCTTTATCTTTTCTTTAACATGAAAGCATCTGTTTTAGGGAATAGGTGAGGACTGTGGTTAGCATCCTTTCCCACCAGTTCTAAGCAGTCACAACAGAACTATCCTAATCGTCGGGAAATTTGGCTACTTTCAAACATACTGGTTGAAAAATACATAGTCTTCTTCTTAAACTCTTTGAGGTTTTTAATCCATTTTTCTCCAGAATGTTGCCATTCAGACTTGGCATTCTTAATTTTGTAGGTCCAAGGAGAAAGTATAATGTTTCCTGAAATATAAATAAGTAATAAAATTAATGTACACACAGAGAACACTGTTTATTCTTCATGAAGATTTTCATTTGGCTTTTATATTTCAGCACTTAATCTCTGGGGGCTACAAGTGACTCTTGCTCTGTTCAAATGAGGTTCTGACTCCAAATCATCTGAGTTTTTATAGACTTACACATTTAAGTTTAAACTCAAGTATTTATATAAAAATGGGTTGGTTCTGCATTCTGTAGCCATTCTCAAACATTTCCTAATATATGCCAGAAGGTTTAAAGAATTTGCTTTTTTCATAGCTATTTCGGAAATAGGATCATTATTAAAATGCTATAAAAGCCAGTTTCTTCTTGGATCATGTGGAATATAATGCAAGTTTCCAGTTATGATTGCATAGTACAGATAATTCCTGTTTTACAATTAAATAAAACCTGCAAGTTTTAACTGTTTAATATGCTTAATTGCTTCTGCTGAATCTAATCAGTTACAGAAAAATCTAAACACAATTCTGTATAGAGTCTGTTTTTATCTTACAATAGTATTCATAATGTCTCGGGATAGCAAAAAGGAAGAAGAAGAAAACAAGCAGTTTAAGACTTACTTGTAGGAGAAATCTGTCTATTAAAGAAAAAATAATCCAAGTTCTTAACTATTCTCATTAAACATCTATGTCAATTATTGATAAACTAACCTCTTTGGACATAAGTAATAACATCATCAGAGTGTTGTTATTTCTTTTATGAATGGCTTAAAAACAAGACCATTTGTTTTTCCTTAATAGTTTGCTTTGGACTTGCAATGGAAACAAAACTATTCATGAATTTACCAATTTTTCTTCTCTGTAGAGCATGAGTTGTCTGTGGTCTTATCCTTCATGGATACCTGTGTTCTAGATTACTCTTTATAGGGTAAAATCGTAGAATTATAATACAGTCTTTTTATTCTTCTTTACAGCCATGTCATCTTACCTTCTAATTATTAAAACAGAGCTTCCTGCTGCTATCTCAGAATTTTTAAATGGAGACTACAGTGGGTAAGAATATATCACACTTCATCTGTTTATCTACTAATTCAATAAATATTTTTGAGCTGTAGGGAGAAGTATTATTTCTTAAGAAAATACTTCTGATTAGTGCTAAAGAGCAAGGATGTCAGTTTAAAGACTAAGGTATACCTGATCCAAGTTGTGATTTTTAAAAAAGTTTCTTCCTAAGAATCTGAGAATTGGTCAGTGAATAAGGATGACCAAAGAATATGATACCTTTGAACTGTGGTGTTGGATAAAAGGATTAAATATATCATGGACTGCCAAAAAGATGGATAAATCTATCTTGGCAGGGTGTACAACCAGGGTGCTCCTTAGAGGGAAGGATGATGAAACTGTCTCATTCTTTGAGCATGTTGTCAGAAGGGGCCAGACTTTAAAATAAGATATCATGCTGGGAAACATGGGCGTATCAGCTAAAACGAGGAAGACTCCCAATAAAGTGGATTAACACAGTGAGTGGAGGGATTAACAGTGTATTCAAGCATGTTGAAATCATGAAGATGGCCCAGGATCAGGCAAGGTTCAGATCTGTTGTTAGGCTCACTATGAGTTGTAGTTGGCTCAATGACAAATATCAATAACAGCGAAAAGGGCAGTGTAGTCCTTGCCCTCAAGATACAGATTGGGGAAGAAGGTGCAATAGTTAAGGGAGTAGAAAGCAGTCAACAGTCATTTACTGGTTACTCATTATGTACAAGACACTGTGTTGTGAATGATCAGAAATGTCATATGCAGTCTGGGGCTGGAGGGAGGGAGCAAAGGCACCAAGATAGGGTATAAACGGTCTAAGAGTAGGTCTTTGGGAAGTGCAATGGAGAATTTTCTGGGAATATGGAAAAATGAGGATAAAAGAGAGCTGAGAGTACTGAAAATAAAGATCTCTCTAAGGAGAGAAGTGATGATACTGTTGAGCAAATCATAGTGATAAATGTGTGGCAATCAAAACTGTGCTAATGCGATATTCCTATTATAAAGCAAAATAGAAAGAAATTCATTGCAGGGACTTAATTGTTTAAATTTATGTTTTTGAAATATTATAAACAATACTAAAATACATTAACCCTCCTTTCTCCTTCCTTAACTTTAAAAAGGGTAAACCCTAAAGAGTATCGATTCATCAACTTTGGGGGGGGATAAAAAACCAAATTAGGTCATTTCTTCTTTCATACATAGAAAAGAAATGTTGAGAAAAATGAACTTAAAGAAGACAGAATAAATATTTAATTGCCATAAAATTCTAACTTCGTAAAGGCTTGAAGCTCAACATAAAGAAAATAAAGATTCTCACCACGGGGCCAAATGGCAGCATCAGTATGGATGGTGAAAAGATTGAGATAGTTAACAGTTTTAGTTTGCTTGGCTCCACTGTCAACATTCTTGGTACCAGCAGCCAGGAAATCAAGAGACAAATTGCACTGGGAAAGTCAGCTGTGAGGGACCTCTCCAGAGTACTGACGAGCAACGACATCAGACTGGAGACTAAGGTGCTTATGAACTGGGCTATCGTCTTTGCAATTACGTTCTATGCATCAGAGAGCTAGACAGTGACTAGGGATGATAAAAAGAGAATTGATGCCTTTGAGCTGTACCATGGACTGCTAGGAGAACAAACAGGTTTGTTCTGAAGAGGGTGAAGCTGGGCTGCTTTTTGGAGGCAAGGATTCTGAAGTTTTATCTGACATACTTTGGGCATGTTGCAAGGAGGGACCAGTCCTTGGAGAGGGACATTATGTTTGTGAGAGTGGAGGGACAGCGCAGAAGAGGAAGACCCTTGATGAGATGCATCGTTTCAGTGATTGGGGTAGTGGAAGTAGATGTGTCTGAGACAATGAGGTTGGCATAGGATCTTGTAGTTTCGCTATGAGTTGCAAGCTACTTGTTGGCACATAACAACAACAAAAACAACAGCATCACCTTAAGCTACAACAGAAAACCAGGCAGAATTTAGATTTTAATATTTAGTTGTTTTGCCCAGATAATGAAACTATTCTGGAATGTAGGGCACAGTTTTCAAACTAGTTTTTACAACCTGGTTTCCATTGAAGAATTCTACTTAGACAACTGCAAATACATATCTATAAGGAAAACTTGTTGTACTTTAGATCTGAATAGATACCATCAACAAACTGTAGGAAATATAAGACAGAAGTTCTTAGTACTTTTTCAACTGAAGGAAAAAAAATCTCTCTTTGTATAGTACTTTACAGGTTTCCACATTCACTATTCAACTTTGCATTATCTGTAGCTTCATCTAGTTACATTTTCATTTTATGATCTTAGTTTCATAAATGATTACTACAAGTAATAGTTTTGTGAAAAACCACATTTGTATTGGCTATAAAGACAGGACAATTTATATTACTGAAAAAAAATTCTATGTGACAACTACTTTTTAATTTCAGGCCAAGACAAATTTTCTTTTTCCCCTAGAGGAACTCCAGGCAATATGAGGTAGAAGAGTGTTAAATTTGTGTTCCATCCATTTCATATTCAGTAATCTCGGAAAATTCACTTAACTGTTAGCCATGTAACTCTGAGACCTAGACTTCTTCACCTAGTTTAATGATGGTAGCAACATTGTCTTCTCAACCAAGTAGAGATGATCAAAAAGATATATGCACATTAGCTTTTGTAAGCTGATGTTACAATATAAATGTACAGAATTCAGAAATTTTACACTAAAAGTGGTAATACTGCACTAAAAGTAGTATTTCTCTTTTTACTCTGGCTGCCTAGAAGCATAGAGCCAATTTTAAATATATTACATAAATTGTATCATCTAATAACTGTCACATGTGTTTTTATTTGTCCTGGATTTAATTGCTTCTCTGTACAATTTTAATTTCATATGTATTTGTGCTGTTCCGGTCGTTTTTGGATAATCTTCGGTAAAATCTTGCTTGCATGTGAAATCAGTGAGATTGTTCT